TTACTAGTTATGATTGTATACTTTTAATTTCATTACGTGTAAAAAAATGTTTGACAGGAAAATTTGTGACATGTCACTAAGACACTTAAGTCGAAGATAAGGAAGGTAGCAGTATATACAATCGGTATAATTTCATTTCTGGTGGTCGCCATTATATCGGGTAATATTTTAATTGAATAATATAAAGAAGTGTCACGCGTCTTGGCCTTAGCTCGGCTCTTTTGTTCAACATAAAAAGACTCAGGGCAAAAACACGTACAAAATTCATCACAGAACTTCAATACGCTGATGACTGCGCTCTAGTTGCAAACACGTTACAACAATTACAAGAAATGTTGAACAAATATACCTGGGCACACGAGGCTTTGTGCCTTAAGCTAAACATCGACAAAACCAAAATCATGTGGACTCCCCCAGAAAATCATAACAATGCTATAAAAATCGGAGAACTATTGGAATATGTAGCGCAATTTAATTACTTCGGCAGTTTGATTTCGGAAAAGGCCAATATCGACTCTGAAATTCAGCACAGGATTAGCAGCACCTCAAGAGCATTCTGGAAATTAAAAGACAGGGTTTTCTACAATCATGACTTAAGTACAAAAACGAAGCTTGCAGTGTACTGAGCAATTATAATCCCCACCATGTTATATGGGAGCGAAACCTGGGTGCCGTACCGCCGACACATGAACGCATTAAACAAGTTGCAACAGAGACATCTTAGACAACACTTAAGAATCCGGTGGTTCCATGATGTCTCAGACGTATCGGTCCTTGAAAAAGCTAACTGCGAGAGTATTGAAGTCATGGTTACAAAATCCCGCTTAAGATGGGCTGGTCACGTATGCAGATGAAAGGAAACCGCATACCAAAATCTTTGCTTTACGGTGAGCTAATTTTTCTTAGGTAAGAGGAGGCCGGGTGGACAACTCAAAAGGTACAAGGACATTTTCCACGAAAACTTAAAGGGGATTAACATACAGAATCATTAGGAAGAAGCAGTTCACAATAGAACTCAATGGAGAAGAATTGTAAACTCAGTTAACAGCGACAACCAAAAAGTAAAGAGGCAACAAAGCAATGAGATTTTTGAATATGGTGCGGAGTGCGGTAGGCAAATAACATAACGTATCGGGCTTTTCAGTCACTGAAAAGCTCATGAAAGAAAACGCCTTGCGTGACCATCTTATTATGCGTGTCGAATACTCGTCAGCGAGTAATGGCAATATGTATGTATGTATGTCATCTGGGAATCTGTTTTCTGTTGATTTCCCGACACGATTTTAGATTTTACTTTATAGTCCTCTATAATAATCGAAGTTTTTATGAATCAACAGCACGTCAACGTGTATTTTTTCCTACGATCAGCAAAATTAAACAGCAATATGCATGGTTGTTATTGGAAGGGGTGACCGCTTAAAACACCGTTTTTTATTTTTAGTTCGTTTAATTTGTGTTGACAAATAAAATTTGCAATTTGTAATCAATTGTAATCCTGAATGCTGATTACGACCAACCCATTAATAAATTTCGCGATATCGCCTGGTGTTTGTAAGAGATGTTAAAACAGTTAAAATTTGGAATCACGGATGCTATTTAGCAGACGAATTTGCGATATCGTATGCTGTTTACGCGATATCGTTCGGCCTAGAACTGAATTGCGATCATGGACGTCGTTTACAAATATGCGGCCCGGCAATAAGGCGTCGGGCATCTGTAGCTCCTAGAATAAAAAAAAATTGAGAATTTTGTTTAACTGCAAACCTAAAGTATGTAAGAGGATGTGTTTCAGGAAAAAATATTTTAACTTCTATAGGGTGGCTCAAATAGTGTGAGTGGATCGGGATATTTTTTTTAAATGGTACACCCTATATATTATTGCATTTTTGGCTTCCTTTCAGATCACTTTACATACTCCTAAGATGTGAGTAACTATAATTGATAATTTCGGAGATATTAAATAAATAAAAATTTTCCTTAAAAAATTATTACAAATAGCAGAACTGTCCTAAAATCAAAATTATATTAGGTATTTACTTTAGATGGTCTATACTTACTTTACTATAAATATAGTAATCTTAAATCACACAAAAGGGTGTTCAAAATTCTACGCCAAACCTTCCAAATATAAAATAATTTAGTTTTTTTTAATTAATAACACTCTGTTTATTTTTTTTTATTAGATGGAGGGTTAAAAAATGAACATTTTTTGTATTTAAAGTGTTTCAAAATTGTTAATGGTTTCGCAGATACACGCAGTATTATTTCATATAGCTCTTTCAACGCTAAAATATAAGACTATCAAATTATATTGATAAAAATTTACTGTGGAAAATGCCATATGAAATATAAAACCGCGAATATCTGCGAAACCGTTAAAAATTTTGAAACACTTTAAATGCAAAAAATATTTCTTTTTAACTCTCTATCTAGTAAAAAATAATATACAGGCTGTTCTATTTAAAAAAAAAACAAAAAAAAGAAAATTTATTTTATATTTTACAAAGTTTGGCGTAGAATTTTAAACATCCTGTATGATTTACGAATACCATATTTATGGCAAACTAAGTACAGACCATCTAAAGCAAATACCTAATATAGTTTTGATTTCAGGATAGTTCTTGTATTTTTAATAATTTCTTTAATATAAGAAAGGCTGAAAAATATAGAGGGTGAGTTTCCTACGATGTTCTCTATGGGTATCTCGGAAACTACTGGAGATAGAGAGTCAGTTAAATGGGGAAAGAATTGCAGTTTTGTGGGGTCATAAATATGCGCTTTTCAGGTTTTCGAAAAAGTTTATGACTTACTAGATATTTCGAAAAAAACAAATTTTGGCTATTTTAAAAATTGTCCCTTATTCCATTATAATCTATTTTAGACAAAAAGTTTTCAGATAAAAGTTGTAGATAATCACATCCCTAATGAGATTGTGTTCTCCGATTTTTTCTAAAGCCTGTCATTTTTGACATATGACACAAACATATGTTTTTTTAAATGGAAACCATAGTTGGCCATGACTTCATAAAAAGCGCCGTTTTTTAAGCTTTTCAACGATATAAGCTATAATATATTTCTTTCACAAAATTACTGAATTATAACCAATTCTTATGTTTCTCGACTAATTTCATTTAGTTCGCCATGGAAACAAGTTCAATCGTCGTTGCTCTCAGAAATGTGAAATTGTCACATCCAATCTTTGTAAATTAACATAAACAAAAATTGTAAATAAGAGTTTTTTTAAATGAAGAACAACGTGTAGAATTATTGGTTCAACTTTTCTTGGCCATACAGTTTCGAAGATACGTTGACCGGCGAACGTTACGTTTTTTAGAAAACGGTTTTCAAGGCAAGACATTAGAAAAGTTAAATTTAGATACTCGCGCATTAATACAGTGGTTCCAACATTACTTATGTTGGAACTCTCTTACATGACTTCATTATGACGCACCAACCCTCCCACACAATGAAAGAAATGTTATTTAAAAAATTATTTATATCATAATTATGTAGACTCAGGGAGGTGGACCAATTGCATGGGTCTCCTCTGTCACCTGACCTATCCATTTTAGATTTTTTATGCGGTATGGTTAACAACAAGGTTTACAAAAATACTTATGAATAAAGAGAGGCACTCGAAGAGGCGGAACAGGAGAAGTTTAATTAAGTCGACCGGGCGTTCTGTGACAATAGCTAGAAATTCAGTTTTAAAAGATGCATTTATGTACTCAAAATAATTGCGGATTTTTTGAACATTTCTAAAATAACTTAAAGTGTACGTAGTGATATTATTTTTTTGAGTTTTAGTTTGTGTAAGCTAAATTGTAAAGAGCCGTTTAATAACATATTTTGTCTTTTTATAAGTTATAAATCACAACAAAATTTGGACACCATTGAAAACCGTTCTCTAAAAAACGTAAGTAACTTTCACCGGTCAACGTATCCTGTATGGCCAAGAAAAGTTGAACCAATAATCCTACACGCTTTTCTTCATTTGAAAACTTTTTATTTACAATTTTTGTTTATTTTAATTTACAAAGATTGGATGTGACACAATTTCACATTTCTGAGAGCAGCGACGATTGAACTTGTTTCCATGGCTAACTAAGTGAAATTAGTCAAGAAAGATAAGAATTGGCTATAACTTAGTAATTTTGTGAAAGGAACATATTATAGCTTATATTGCTGAAAAGCTTAAAAAATGGCGCTTTTTATGAAGTCACAGCCAACTATGGTTTCCTTTTAAAAAAACATATGTTTGTGTCATATGTCAAAAATGACAGGTTTTATAAAAAATTGGAGAACACAAACTCATTAGGAATATGATTATCTACAACTTTTATCTGAACACTTTTTGTCTAAAATAGATTGTAATGGAATTAGGGACAATTTTTAAAATAGCCAAAATTTGTTTTTTTCGAAATATCTAGTAAGCCATGAACTTTTTTAAAAATCTGAAAGGCGCATATTTATGACCCCACAAAACTGCAATTCTTTCCCCATTTAACCGACTCTCTATATCCAGTAGTTTCCGAGATGCCCATAGAGAACATCGTAGGAAACTCACCCTGTATACATATACATATTTTTTTATTTATTTATTAATATCTCTGACTCTATTTGAAACATATTTACTGATATGCTAGGATTATGTAAAGTGATCTGAAAGGAAGTCAAAAATGCAATAATATACAGGGTGTCCCATGTAAAAAAATCATCCCGATACACTCACACTTTCTTGAGCCATTCTTTAGTTAAAGTATTTTCCTGAAATACCTCTTCGTACATACTATCAGTTTGCACTTTAACAAAATTCCCAGGTTTTTTATTCTAGGAGCTCGATATACAACTAATGCCCGACGCACTATTGCTAAACCCTGTATATATCTTCTTTATATTATTCAATTAAAATATTACCCGATATAATGCGACCACCAGAAATGAAATTATACCGATTGTATATACTGCTACCTTCCTTATCTTCGACTTAAGTGTCTTAGTGACATGTCACAAATTTTCCTGTCAAACATTTTTTTTACACGTAATGAAATTAAAAGTATACAATCATAACTAGTAAATTCGTCAACTAAACAAGCTCTAAGTATATAATGGTAAATGTTTTAACTGCCTCCCAAATAAAAAATGGAAATCTATCATCCGGATTGGAGAACCGTACCAACAGTTGCCCTATGCTCCATTTTTGAAATACTAACGAGAAGAGACAGACTGGCCTTCGTTATGGTGTGCCAGAGCTGGAAAGAAGCAGTTACGTGCTCGAGATTCTGGAGAAAGTTTGTTGTCTACATAGATCAGGACTTTATGGAACCGAGTCTGATTCACCTGACGCAAGAGTTCTACAAATACATCAAGCATTTGGTAATAGGCTGGAGAACTCCAATGTGGGAGCATCGTCTAAAGTGGCCTGAATTGAAGTACAAAGATCTGACAAAAAGAGTGGGCAAGTTTTTGGTAATCTTGTACGAAAGATCAGTACAAATTAATGTTCTGGAAATTAACAACTGGTACGACGTATTCTATATAAGAAAACTTGGATATTTGATGCTTCGTATCGTCAAAAATCAATACGGTCTCACTTCGATAACACTTAATAACGCCAACTTTCACGATATGAACTTCATAAACATACTGGTGTCATGTTTGAGATCAAAATCCACACTTGAAGAAATCCACGTCCATTATTTGTCCACCCTGACACAAAGAAACTTTGATGGGTGGATTTTTACCAGCTGCACCGAACAGTTTACCAATCTCAAAGTGTTCACCGTTAATATTTGGGTATTTTGGCATTTTTACAGTAGGCTTCAAGTCACATTATCAAAATTAACCGAGCTGAATCTTTATCTCGACGATTCTGCAAGAATTATCGATAAGATAACCTTTCCCGATATAGCCGAGAGTCAGTGGGATATGTTTCACGTCTTACTTCCAAATGTGTTGGTTAATCTCTCCGTAAAAAAGTTCCTAACTGACAGTCAAATGAAGACGATAGTTCAGCAATCTTTCCCATTAGCCTCATTTGTGTGGAAGTATAAAGTTAATAAAGAATGTTGTAGAAAAACGTGTGCGATATGTCTTCGATTACTGACCAATAATCATCGCGATACGTTGCAGACCGTCGTCATTGCAGTGCCTGATGTGAGTGAAGTGCCATTTATTCAAAGAATCATATTTCTGAAGAACAAGTGCAAAAAGTTGCAGTATTTTTGCTTTAATCGGCTGAGGTGGCAGAAGAAAAAGAGAGCAACACGCTATCACCCCTATTCGTTAATATAATATTTAAAACTATATTGTCTGTTATTATCTACCATTACAATAGTTCAAATCTGACTATGCCTAAAGGCAGTCTCTCAGAATATCAATGGTTCTAAGAAATGTCTCAAGCGCATTAGTTATAGTTAAATTTGATCGTTTTATTTTTTTCTTCATTATTTTTATTTTATTTATAGTCCCTCTGTTTACGTCCACTGCAGAGTGGTAAGTCCCTTAGTTTCACCTTGTAGAAACATTGAGATGGCAATGGTTAATATTCGCTTAGTATTCCATTTGCAGCTTGAATACTGCTTCTAAACATTACTAAATAAAGGTAGTGCAACAGTTCTTTAGGACTGTTTCTCTCTGCAACTGTAACAACTTCTACTTAATTCCAGTACCTCTTGAATGTTTCTGAAATAATGCCACTCCTTCACTATTTTTTTCATTATTTTTTACTATTTTGGCAAAACGGCTCTAGTCCTATTTCTCAAAATTGTCTTTGTTGCTTCGTTATTGGGGTAATACAAAATTTATTTTGCCCATCTGCAAATGTCTCAATGTCTGTCTCATAGCAGTAGGTACTTCTTAAATTTTTAGAATAACTTTTAGAATAATTAAATAATACATAAATAAATCATAATTAAATCATACATAATTAAATAATACACCGTATAATACCGTTTAATTTCAGCACTTCTTAAATTTTTATGTCTTCACCCCTCTCCCTTTGACCGCTCTCTCTTCATATCGTATACATTAATTTGGAATAATGTTATCTCTTTTCCACATTGCATTGCTAAATTTTTGCATAAACCGTTTAAATGCATCCCATTTATCACGCCAATTATATCCTGCCCTATCCTTTATCATCATCAAACTACCCCCCTCTTCCAACCCTCTGGCTCGACTACCGGATAATCCTTGTCAAATATTTGACATTTCAATAAGCCAGCTTCATCTGCAAACCAAATTGTTTACTAGTGTCGCATAAATTTGGCGGGTTTTTCCGGCGGCATTTGGTGCAGCGCACCCCCCGCATCCTCTCGCTAGTTAGTTTTTCCGGGGAAAAATCCCGGAAAATATAAAATAGTTTCGGGAAAAATCCGTTTTAAATTGCCATTTAAACCGGTCTTATTTTGACAAGGACGGCGTTCGAGGATGAATTACGAGGGGGCTCTAAAAAGGCAGGAAAATTTTCAACTGTGGTTTTACTATTTTCATTGGGAAGATTAATAATAAAAAGAGAATGGAATGTAAATCGATCGCTGGTATAGCTAATTAGTTTATTACATTGCTTTGAATTTTCGTGTGTTTTGCATTAAACATGAGGATAAAAATTAACAATATGTAGATAATTAAGATAATATGTAGATAATTTAGATAATAAATCAGAAGATAATGTACAAGGTGTCCCATTTAGTTGAAGTTATACGGTATCTCCGTTATTAGTAAAGATAGGAGGATGCGTTTTGCATAAACCAGTCCCCCTTTTTGTCAAACGGAAGATGCTGTCAACAAAATTTTCATAGCCCCCTTTGTTCCTGAGCTATAGGGTTTTTTTTGAAAATTTTGCAATTTGGCAGTCTCCGTATCTTCGTTATTGTGAAAGGTATAGAGAAGGTAAAAACTGAAATTAAAAATATGAACTAAAGTCCTGTTTTTTTAAATGGAACACCCTATAGATTTATAAATCATATGATCCGTCTTGCTATGAGCTTCTCAAAAATATATAACACTCTAATTTATATAGAATATATTATATTTTTAGAAAGCTCGTGACAAGGCAAGCAAAATAAAAAGTAATATACAAGGCGTCCCATTTAAAAAAAATTGAGTCTATTTTATTTCGGACAGCTCCCAACAATAAACTAGTTACACCACTGGTTTCTACATAAAATGCACTAAGGGACTCACCTTTTCGATAAGTTATAATATAACCAAGATCCGGAAGGAGTCGAAAAATGCAGCATGTTCTAATTCGTCCTATATATCAGAAATACCGTATGATCGAAAAAAAAACGGCGTCCAGTTGGCTGGGAAATGAACATCGATGACATTTCCCATATAAATTTACATATAAAATGACAGCGATCTTCATTCCATAGCCATCGCTGACGCCGTTTTTTCTCGATCATACGGTATATGGATCTAAAACTAATCTGTGTGTATCATCGTTGATTGAAAGAATTGGGAAGATACGCAACCTAATAATGGGCGAATTCTTGACAAGGCTGATTTGATTTCTCCTTACGTCTCTAGTGCTGTACGGTGGAGACACCAATCGTTTTGGGGTCAACGCATAAAACTTATTTTATTTAATTCGGCCAGCAAAGGCAGGCATATCGAAAACGGTGTGGATCTGAAAGCGACAGTGTTGCCATATTAAAATGTGTAATATATGTAACACATTTGACGAAAATATCTTTGGATGAAAAATCCGCGTTTATGTATTGAAAAGTTATTCGTGTTAAACATAGAATAAACAAAAAAAATAAACATTCTTTTATAGAGGTACTAAATATGTCGTATGATCAAAAAAACTCGTTTAGTTGGCGTAGAAATGACGATTGTTGACATTTACCATAATATTTTGCATATGAAATAACAGAGATCTTCATTTCCAAGCCAACTCTGAGGCCTTTCTTTGTTTAATCATATTATAATATTATATTTAAATATATTTTTTTTTAATTAAATTATAATTATTATTTTATTACTTATTTTAAATTGTGTAATGATATTATTTTATTTTATTACTTATTTTAAATTGTTTAATGATAGAAAAACCATATTATTAACGTACTGTATCCAAAATCCGTAAATCTACGGATAATTCAGTAGTTCTGGCAACACTGTCTCTGGCAACCACTCACTCTATAGGCGGAAAGCAGAACTGAAATCAGCGCGCAGCGGCGCAGACTAAATCTAGAATTCTCGGACAGGTTGACAGTAACGCCAGGTACATTTCGGACAGGTTTTGTGCCCCAAAAAGGCCCATAACGTTGCGCATCTTCTGATTTCTTCAATCAACCGTATCATCTTTAGTTTCATAAAAAAGTTTGTGACGCATTACATCCTCTCAAAATGTTCTCTGAACTTCCGGAATGCACATTAATCCATCTTACTACTTTAATTAACAAGTCATTCCAAAAAGGAGATTTTCCGAACTGCCTTAAGTCAGCAATAATTATTCCTTTGCCTAAAGGAGGATATAAAGATGAAGCTTGGAACTATCGCCCAATTGCACTTCTGCCCACATTATCTAAGATCATTGAAAAATTGGTTAAAAAAAGGTTTCTATCTTTTCTCCTTAAATATAAAATACTTACTACCCTGGATTGAGGGGAGTGCCGCTCGAATGGCTTAAGTCATATCTTGGCAACAGAAGGCAGCTTGTGAGGATTGTTACGTCTATATCTTCTTGTAAGCCTATAGATTGTGGTGTCCCTCAGGGTTCAGTACTTGACCCTATTTTGTTTCTGATGTTTACCAACGACATTGCAAATCTAGACATTAGCGGTAAAATCTGCCTGTTTGCGAACAATACTAGTTTCACTTGGAGCGGCCCAAATATTATACGGCACTATATAATACTATATCCAGTGACTTACGCACCATTAAATCTTGGTGCGATTCTAATCTCCTATGCCTCAACCTATCAAAAACTAAAGTTTTGTCATATAAAAGTACTATACAACCTTTTGTACTTAATAACACCGCTATTGACGTCGTGGACTCTGTGAAATTCTTAGGACTTGTTGTAGACAACTCGTTAAAATGGGGCTTGCACATCGAAGCTTTATCAAAGAAACTAAGCGCTGCCTGTTTTGCGCTAAGATTAGTTTCTAAGGAACTTATTAACTTATATCAACCTCTAGAATAGCCTATTATGCCCTTTTTGAGTCACATCGTCGTTATGCCCTTCCATTCTGGGGTACTTGCTGCGCAACAAAATTTGATCGTATTTTCAAACTTCAAAAGAGAGAGTATTTATTGGGACTGAACAGTAGAACTCACTGCCAGAATTTCTTTAAAAAATTCAAAATAGTGACTCAAAAATAGTGACTATTCCTTCGTTATTCATTTTTGAATCTTTTTGCTTAATCCGCAAGCACTTATCTGCTATTCCTGAAAAGCCATCTCACAACTATCCACTTAGGAATGCGGAGCACGATCTTTATCTACCAACCCCGAGCTCAGAACTAGTTAAACACACACTGAACTGTACAATGCCAAAAAAATGTAGAATCATCTGTCTTTGAATATCAAGTCGCTTTCATTCTTTCCCGCATTTCGCAAAGCTCTGAAATCATACTTATGCAGAGAGCGATTTTTTTGTTGATGTTTAAGCATGAACAATTTTGAATTTTAAAATTTTGATCATCTCACACACTGGCCAAAGGTCCGGTATTTAATATTTTATAACACTTAAAATTATATCCATTTACAATTTTCCTATTGTAAAATTTTATTGATACGCTTTTTTTGTGTTCTGCAATTGTCCATGTATGTTCTATTTGTAATTTTATTGGCTTAATTTTTTTTTGAATTGTATGATTTGTAATGTATATTTTTTATTATTTGTATATTTTTTGTGCTTTTGTTTCTTTAGTAAATGCTTTGTCGATGAAACTATTTTGGCTTTTTGCACAATAAAGCTATATTTATTTATTTATATTTAATTATTATTAACGCGAAATAGTGAAATTACTGTTAATGTGACACAGTAATGTGAAAACCGCATACAATATCTATACTTTTTATATTATCACCGTATACAGTATGTGCCTGAATTGTCTTTATAAGAGGAAAAACTTTTTTATTATTGACATTTTGAGAAAAATACATTCTTCATAAAAATTTTTGCTTGTTCTAAAATGGTTAATCCCGTTTATACTTTTCCAAATGTCCATAGAGAATTTAAAAAAAAAACATGAAAATATAGTTAAATTTCCTAAAAATCAAAAAGCGTTTCTTGGTAATGGTAATATCATTTAGATTTCATTCTTTGCTAGATGGTTATTATAATTTGT